AATACAACAGTAACAACAAAACATATCAATATCTATGAGATTTTTTAAAAAATATGGTAGAAAAAGTAGACAAGAAACTGAAGATTGAAGTTTGGACATTCAGTTTGAATGTGATTCAATCAATTTCTTCCTTTAACTGTATTGAAATGCTGATTCAACTGGGTGTTTTTAGAATGCATCAACAATTTATAGTATGAATGTGTCTAACAACACCTTTTAACAAACTAAATCAATAAATCAAAGCTATGCAATTCTAAGATTTACAATGATAATTAGATTTGACTGGACTTCTTGCCAAACCAACAATCTGAATCCATGTTAGATTTCATTTAACTTGTTTCAAATCAAATCTGTGAATCAAATATTGGCAGAGTTAGTCCAAATAAAGTTGAATTTTGTCTCTATGAGTATTAAGAAAGTTCATTTTGGCATGGAGCTAGAATATAGTGTAGTGGTTCAGATATTGTATTGGTTACAGAATCATATTGAATGGATAACTTGAGGCCAGTCACTATCACTCATACTAAAATCTCACAAAATGATTGTTGTGGGGTTAAAATGAGAAGACCCCGCTTCCCTAAAGAATCTTAATAACTCAGAAAGCAGGTAGGATAGAAACGTACTAATAAATACATAAATAAATGAAAGGATACAATTAAATATTTAGACAGTCATTTTAATTAAATATTTTTCTAGTAACAACTATCACCAGGTTTCATTCAAATCTAATTTTCAAGGTTCTCTTCAAGGAAATCATAATAACAATTTTACGCAAATCCCAAGGCTGATAAGATTGCTGAAATTTCTTTGATAATTTTTGCAAAAGCACTATAGAAGGATCAGGCATGCCTTTTTTCAAATCTAGAAAAATATATTTTGTTGTTATTCCAACATTCTGAGATACAGTATGGGATTGTGAGGGCAGGAGCAAAATAAAATACCCTTGATTATATTTGTAGATGATAGATGATAATGCTACTAGTAATAAACTATTTTAGTTATTTAGGTACATGTATTCTCAAATAATAATAATGAACTTGAATCATGACTACTACTTTAGCATTCTTTGAGGATCTGTGAGCATAAAGAACAAATGCAATTGAACACAAATCTTTGTCATACATAAATATATGCTGTAGTTTAACTTTACAGTAAAGTAAAGTGGCTATAGTTTAACAGTATATAATAGTAATATTGACTGGGTGAACATCTTATCCTCCACCTCAATTTTGAGAGTCACCATATTTAAATATGCTTATTTTTCTTTATGTTCATTTTCTGATGCTTTGTGATGTCTTCTTTCTGATTTCCTTAGCAATTCTAATCTCAGATTCTTTATCCATGTATTACAATGTCTTTTCCTGTGAAAAGATATCTGTAATATGTTACCAAGTAGCTCTGGCTACAAATCTATAGTGAGATATGCATTATCCCGCTACAGAGATCCAAGCTGCATTGATCATCCATGTTGCTGTAAGCATAAATTCTGTCACTTAAGAGAAAGTTAACTGGCATTTTAGCAGTTGTTCCTTCAACCTTTGTACAAGAATCTTTGACTTTTGTGCTAAGGCCTTTGGCAGGCTTTTCTAACTCCCCAAAATGCCTCCAGCTTATTCAATCAGCAGTTGCTAAGGTTTCTTCTGAGTGATCACATAACTTTGATCTTAATTTTATGACACTTGTTTCCTCAGCTTTTTTTTTTCCTGATTGTAATAATCACACATGTTCACATATAATATGCAGAAGTGCCTGTAACCTCTTCATTGCTCAGCAGTGATAGATCTGGTAATAATGTGCTCACAGTTCTCACTGTGCTGTACTTTGTAACACCCAGAGTTTAATTGAAAATACACTCTGACCTTGGTTTTCTTCACTGGGCACAGAAAGGACATAATTGCTGTGAAGCTGCTGAGAGACATTATTCCAAAATGTCATATTGCTAATTTTGGCTGTAGAAGTCCCTCCCAAAATCCAAATATAAATATGGAACGTATCACTGTTTTGTATTGATAAAAAAAAGTATTTTTTTTAAAAAAAGACTTATTTCTCTGTACCATTTCATTATTTTCAAAATGTCATGGGAGTGTAATCATTTGATTTCTTCTAGTGATCCATTCCTCATTTATAATTACATAAACAGCTTGTAAACTGCAGACCACAAAAATATCTATACTCCATTTTACCTTCCAAAGGTTTCCATAGTTACAAAGGACAAGATTATAATTATCATTTGCTGGACGGAGGATTCTTAACAGCATTTCCACTTTCATACATAATTGTGATTTTCCTTCTAATTACATTATGTTGGATAAACTGTAATTGTAATGGATATTCTATATGTCTATAAACATTATATTTCTATAGTCTATAAACACTGTCCTCTGAATATGTAGAATGTTTCTATTACTGGAAGTTTTCTTTAGAATTCTGTGATTAGTTTTCTTATTTGTTTTATTTCCTTCATGTATATTCCTTAAGGTGAATGTTAAGGAATCTAAAACAGAAAAAAGACTTCAGAAGATCAATGACCTTTCAAGAATTACTGAAATGAGTATTAGATAGGCCAAGGATCAACCATCCATTAGTATAATGAAACAGCTGCTTTGTAACTCTCCTAATCAGAAGAAATTACAAGTTTTTTTTACACAAAATCAGGTTTTGTATTTCAAATGTCTTGCAATGAGGTAGAAAAGGAAGTTATTTTTCAAAGGTCAAAATAAGTGATACCAGTTAGTTTTGTTGATGACTGTGTTTACTCATGTTTTCAGTAGGAGTAAAATCTAAGGAACTGTCCGATATTCTCATACATGCATAAATTCATAAGTTGATTATTTTTCTAAATAGATTGCTATGTGAACAGTAACATATTTACCATATTTTTCAAAATACAAGATTTCCCCCTCTGATATGAAATTAAACTGTTTGAAGCTTTAAAGAAAAGCCTTTAGCAGATAGCATTTTTGTCTACCAAATGTGTATTTTATATCTGTGTGCTCTGGATTATTAATGTGCTTAGAGCTTGCTATAATTTATAAGACTTCACTTTGGCCTGATTTATAGGAAATTTCATTAATCTCTACAGCACAGGGACCTTGCAGTGAGCAAGAGATTCAAAATGAATCCAGAGCTGTATTTAGGTACAACCACAAATGAATCAGCACTCAGAGATTTTGAATGATAATAATAATTTGCAAAGTTGAAAGTTCTTTTTCACTTATTCAAAGATCTGAAAGAAGCATTTTGGAAGGTAACTCGGAAATTGCCAACCCTTTATTTTTGCATTTGGGGCACATTACTGATGACAGTTTCCATCCTGCAGTGGTCAAAATATGAGGATTGGAGACAATGTGTATGAGGAAATAAAATCACTTGAATTTTTTTTTTTTAATATCTGTTTCCTGAAGTAAGCAAACAATAAGTATTCCGTCAGCAGATGTATTCAATAAATAAAAGCTTTTGGACATTTGCATAAATAATCAAAAGACATTTTCCTCCCTGGAGGAAAGATTTTCAAACCTAATATGATTCATAGAAATTTTTCCCCATAAAACTATGTGTTTTGGGTAACTTAACCCACCACTCAAAACTTCTGAAGAGCACCAGCATGGGGAAGCATGATATACAAAGTTACTAAATTACATATAAAGGGTGGGGGTAGATATTAAAAGAATATAGCCTAAAAACTGCATTTAAATCTGCTTTTTCAATTTTTTACTTTTGGTCATTTCATGGCTTAATGAACTAGAGTTAAAAACATCACCACACATTTAAGAAACATATATACAATCAATCTCTTAATCTCTGTTTCCCGTTATGTATGATTTTCCATATCCATAATTGCTAAAAAGATTTCAAACCTAAGCATATATGGTAAGGGTTTTACATTTGTAAGCTTTAGGGCTATTTTTGTTAATTTTGCATGTGTAAAATAGCAGACAGGCTTTGGCATACTCTTGAGTACACATAAAAAATATACTTTTCAATGTCTTATTAGACTGTGTCATCATTTGTGGGTGTTAGGTTGGTATGGACCCTCTGCAGTAAGGGCTATCATAAGCTATTTGTTCATGTTTTTCATTTATCTTGCATCCAGATGGTTAAACAAATAAAAACTGGTCAGATATTTTACTTTTGGTGGATATGCTAGATTTGGATGCTAGACTGCCTTATTTGAAATGCTTGCCAAACCCTAGGTGAAAAATACAAATCTCATTTTGATCATTCAGTTATCATTTTATCCTTATCCAAAGATTAATGTTATGGATCTCCATCTTCAGTTTTAGAAGTTCTGCTAAAAACTGATATTAGTTTCCAACTGACCTGTACATCCAATAATTAAAAATCTCTGAAAATAAATTCCAGATAAAGGTTCTGAATGTTCTTCTTTAAATAATGTTATTACAGGAGTGAATTATTCAGTAATATACCATTCCCTTTAAGTTAATTATAAATGTTTGAATAGCCATATAAATTGTGTTCTGATTAGACTTAGATTTATTGAAATGAATAATTTAATTCTGATAATTTAGTTTAATTTTCAGATTGGTTTTATAAGTGGATAATTCAGTCTTTGGCTAGTTACCTTCAGAAGGGTTGGACTCTTTTTCTTAATTCCCAGCCAACCTAATAGTGGTTGAGAATTGGATCAGCAAAAGTTCAGTATATCTGGAATGTCTGCTGAAAACAGTGAATTGGCTTAAAGTAATGTTCATAGTTCTGTAATCTTGGCCAAAACAGTATTTTCAATAGGGATTTCTCCTAATAATTAGAATTATATTTAATTATATGCTTTATTTTCTTTTACAAGATATTTTGCACCCAAAAGAAAAACCTATAATGACCAAGGGTAATTTAACTGTTAACTTATATTAACAATTAATCCCCAAGAAGTTTGTTTCTAGGTAAATATATTTTTTAACAAATGTGTGAATGCACAATTATAAGTAAGAAATAAAAATGCAACATTTGATACTAATATTGCTGTTTTCTTTTTTCTTTAGACTATTGGAACTCCTGAAGGACCAACTCCAAATAAATTATGAATGTTGAACAAGATGAGCTTACATCCACAGCAGATAATGATAGGTCCTAGGTTTAACAGGGCCCTATTTGACCCCTTGCTTGTAGTGCTACTGGCTCTTCAACTTCTTGTGGTTGCTGGTTTGGTCAGAGCTCAGACTTGCCCTTCTGTCTGTTCCTGTAGCAATCAGTTTAGCAAAGTAATTTGTGTGAGAAAGAATCTGAGAGAGGTCCCTGATGCTATATCTACTAACACTCGGTTATTGAATCTCCATGAGAACCAAATTCAAATAATCAAAGTGAATAGCTTCAAACACCTGAGGCATCTAGAAGTCTTGCAACTGAGCAGGAATCACATTAGAACAATTGAAATTGGGGCCTTCAATGGTCTGGCTAATCTCAATACTCTGGAACTCTTTGACAATCGTCTTAGCACCATTCCTAATGGGGCATTTGTGTACTTGTCAAAATTGAAGGAACTTTGGTTGCGAAACAACCCCATTGAAAGTATTCCTTCTTATGCTTTTAATAGAATTCCTTCCCTGAGGAGGTTAGATCTGGGGGAATTAAAAAGGCTTTCATATATCTCTGAAGGTGCCTTTGAAGGTCTATCCAATTTGAGATATTTGAACCTTGCTATGTGCAACCTTCGGGAAATTCCTAACCTCACACCACTTGTAAAACTGGATGAGCTAGATCTTTCTGGGAACCACTTAACTATTATCAAGCCAGGATCTTTTCAAGGATTAATGCACCTGCAGAAATTGTGGCTGATCCAATCCCAGATTCAGGTGATTGAAAGGAATGCATTTGATAACCTTCAGTCACTAGTAGAGATCAATCTGGCCCACAACAATCTAACACTACTGCCTCATGACCTCTTCACACCTCTCCGTCTGGAAAGAATTCACTTGCATCATAACCCTTGGAACTGCAATTGTGACATCCTATGGCTCAGCTGGTGGATTAAAGACAAAGCACCCTCCAACACTGCATGCTGTGCCCGTTGCAACACACCTCCCAACTTGAAAGGAAGATACATTGGTGAGTTGGACCTAAACTACTTCACATGCTATGGTCCTGTGATTGTGGAGCCACCAACAGACCTCAATGTCACTGAAGGCATGGCTGCTGAGCTTAAATGCCGAGCATCAACATCCCTGACCTCTATATCTTGGATTACTCCAAATGGATCTGTTATAACACATGGGGCTTATAGGGTTCGGATTTCTGTGCTCAGTGATGGCACATTAAACTTTACAAGGGTAACTGCGCAAGACACAGGCTTGTATACATGCTTGGTGAGTAACTCTGTGGGGAATACAACAGCTTCTGCAACTCTTAATGTAACCGCACAGGAGTGTATTACTTATTTTTCAACCATCACAGTAGAAACTGTGGAACCTTCTCAGGATGAGGCACGGACCACAGAACAGGTTTGGCCCACACCAGTTATTGATTGGGATACCACTAATGCGACAACCTCTCTCACACCACAGAGCACAAGGTCAATGGAAAAAGCATTCACAATTCCTGTGACAGATTTAAGCAACGGGATCCCAGGAATAGATGAGGTTATGAAGACTACCAAAATCATAATTGGTTGTTTTGTGGCAATCACTCTTATGGCTGCTGTGATGTTAGTCATTTTTTACAAAATGAGAAAACAGCATCACCGGCAAAATCATCATGCTCCAACACGGACTGTAGAAATCATTAATGTGGATGATGAACTTACAGGTGATACACCTATAGAAAGTCATTTGCCCATGCCAGCAATAGAGCATGAGCACTTAAACCACTATAACTCTTATAAATCTCCTTTCAACCACACAACAACAGTTAACACAATAAATTCCATACACAGTTCAGTGCATGAACCATTATTGATCCGAATGAACTCTAAAGACAATGTACAAGAGACTCAGATCTAAACCGTTTACAGATTTAAGGGGGAATTTAAAACAAAAAAGACAGTTTATTAAAAAAAATGACACAGATGACTGGGCTAAATCTACTGTTTCAAAAAAAGTGTCTTTACAAAAAAAGAAATTTATTTATTAAAAATTCTATTGTGAGCGAAAGCAGACAAAATTATGTGTATTCCTCAGAACCTCTTTTTGATGCATTTATTTACCCTACTCTACTGATTTCCCTTTCCTTTCTTCTCTCCTATACCTTCCCTTCTATCCCATTTGCCATATTTTTCATAGAACAACTTGATTCTCTAAAGAACTGGTCTAGGGATTTTTGTAAGAATTCTGTTAATGCTTTAGGAATTTTTATGGTGAATTCTAGTGGTGAGATTCGGTCTATTTTGTCTTTTTTCATTTCATTTTCTTTTCATGCCCTTTTTGAAATGGTTCAGAAGGGGAATCGATGTTAGCAGTAGATTCACAAGAACAATCAAGGAACAGAAACAAACAAAACAAAATATTTTATTTTTATTTTATTTTTTCACATTTCTGTATTTCTTGAAGGGACAATTCTGTGGAAGGGTGAAAAAAATCCAAGAAATTAATTTTCATGTGAGCATCTATAAAACCCATGATCTTTTAAACAACTCTAGAACCAGGATTTGTAGTACAAACACTAAAATAAGATTATAAATAAAATATTGTTGGTTTTTTTCTGTACTCATTTTTAGTGTGATGTTAAAATGTCAAAAGATTGTTCCACAATTTACATTTTTTTTCATTCATCATTCCATGGCTTTTCTTCAAAAACAAACAAAATGATGGTAAAAAAATTATTATAACAACATTTTGAATTTTAACTGAAAGTAATAATACACTTTTTTTACTTAATAACCAGCATAACATGCCTAAAAGTTAATGATCACAGACAATAATTCAGGAAATTTTCTGGGGTTAAATAAATTAAATGAATTTATTGATGAAATGAATGACAGTTATCTTCACATTTGATCAGAATTTTTCATTAGATAAGATCATTTTGTCCCTGGAATGTTCTAAAAATTCTTCCTCAGAATTTTGGTTGAGCAGTTTGTTCTTGATTGGACACCAAAGGATTTGCTAATCTTGCTAACAAAAGTATGTATGTGGGAGCATCCGTTTTATATTTAAAGGTAAGAGAAAAAAAGAAAAAAGAAAATAAAGATAAAAAAGAGGGAGGGAGGGACAAAGAAAAGAAAGAAAGAAAAAGGAGGATGGAAGAAAGAACGAAAGAAAGAAAAAGAAAGAGATTTGAAATGGCATCTGCTATCCAAAGTTCTAAAACCACTGGTCCAAATAATTTGATCCAACACTAATCTTAACCATGTGTTGGAATGTGGCCTTAATTTATAAATAAAGGTTATAATTAACCACAAATAATATTCATCTATTTTTTCTGGCTTTGTTGGCATCTTCTATAGCAAGCCAAGGACATCAGCAAAGGGTTCCGATTTCACAAGGCTTCTTTGAAACTATATCATTAACCTTTAGTTCTAGCCAACATTTTGTTAGTGTTCATATGAAATGAAGTTTTTATTTATTTATTTTGATTGCATGAAAACACAGCTGCAAATATGGATGCTGTTTGCTGTTTAATCAACTGAAATATGGTTGATCAAGAACTAACAAAACTGAAAAAATCCCAGAACAATATTCAACAACAGGAATTAATGAAAAATAATAATAAACTGATTCCCTTAATTCTTTTTCCTTTTATCTGACGTAGACCAATGCTAAGTGTCAGAAATCCAAGTGAGAAGTAGACCTCAATAGGATTTTTCTATGATGAATCAAATTCCTTAATTAAAACAATATGAAGATCCATTGGAATTGTTCTAGTCAGAAGTTCCATTCAAGAACAAGCCTTTCTTCCTTTTTATGAAGCTGTAATTATTTTTTCAGAGTTAAGATGCAGAAACTGAAAATCAGAAACCAAGCCACTACAATCCAAATCTCTGAACTCACCAAGGGTTGTCTTAACTCATCAAAGTTCATCCCAACATTTCCCATCATGAGGTTAGACCTCAGCCTTGACAAAGTTCTGCTTTTTGAGGAAGATGATCCTAAGCAGAAAATTGGAATCTGATTAAACACTTGAAAAACACCTATCTTTATTTTCTTTTCTCTTTAGCAAAAATATTATTTGAAGGAGGAGAAAAATATTGATGTCCATATAACTAATAAATTTAAACTTGTGTTGATAATTAACACAAATATGTTTTAATAGGCTAATCATGTTTTTTTTTAAAAAAAATCTGTTCAAATGTTGGGCTTTGTGGCTCTTCTCATTTGAAAATTATTGTTGTGGTTGAATTACAGTATAACTTCTCCTCTACAATATCCTTAAATAATGCTTTTGACTTTGGTAATGGAAAATGAGAGTATATATTAAAGATCCTTATAATAACTGTAAATCTCATACCATATAACAACTTGTTCTTCAGCAAAGTTTGGAAACTTACTTGTGAACTTTTCAAATCTTGAATCAAAAAAGATGAGCCTTTAAAAGTGCTGAATGTACCTGAAGTATTTATTGTTTTCCTCCCAATTGGACCCCTAAGAACCTTACTCTGCAAGTCATCAATTTGCCAACACTTTTTTCCCCTTACATTTATTGTTTCAGGCAAAGAAGAGCAAGTAGTGTGCATGAAATAAAAAGGGTTTTTTGTCCCTGCTGCCTTCCCCCTTGACACCAGTATCTTATGTTCTGTTGTTCAATATTCATTGGTATATTTCAAATTTCCTTATATTCTTAGTAAAATTCCATCTCCCTTGCATCTCCAGTTCATGGCATGGGAAATCGTGGTTAAGGTTGTGGAATGGAACTGGGGGAAACAATTCAAGTCTGTCTTGAGCTACAAAAGCTCTCTTGAGTGACTTTGAGCCAGACACTCTCTCTGAGCCCAGTCAACCTCACCGGCTTTTCTGCTGTGAGAACTTTGAATGTCACTTTGCACTTCTGAACAAAAGACAGGATAAAAATCAATCAAATCAATTCAACTGGTTTCAAAATAGAATAATTTATCTGGAAAGTAAGCAGCCACAAACCAGGCAGACAAAGAAGTGCATTAACACGGGTAGTGATTTTCTTTTTATTAGCTCTTGTAATTGAATATGGCCAATAGAATCAAACTAGCCACAAGCAAAACAAAAACCCTAAGAAACTTTAGTTCTGCAAAGGAATTTAGATCATTTTAGTTTCTTCGTGGATTCTCTTGTGAGATTTTCCAAAAATGAAAGTTAATATCTGTTTTCTAAATTAATTATTTAATTCAGTTTAGTGACATAGCTTTGTGACTGTTCCAAAAATTTAATTTGCAACATATCAAGGTTTTGCATCCAACAATTTCAACATAGTTCATTCATTTTCATTTTTACACAAATCTAATAGGTCAACCATAAGCCTAACATTATCAGATACTTGATGTCCTTAAATGAAATGTCTTGAGTGGCTTATTGAATGTAATGCCTTCTTCAGCTATGTGACAGAAGTACAGTAGTTTTTAAAAGATTGGCATCAACCCTGGAGAATAACAATTCATGCAATTGCTGGGATCCTTTCTTGATTTACTGTAATATATGCCTCGTAGTTTTCTTAGGCTAAGGTTCTATTTTTGAAAGATTTCTTGTGAACTTCTAGCACACGGTTGTCAAACTCACTGTGTCACGTTCCCGTCACATGATGTTTCATGAAATTTTTCCCATTCATAGAGCTGGAGTGGGCATGGCCTGCATGTGACACATCCAGCCCGTGGGCCACCAGTTTGACACTTCTGGTCTAGCAGAATGAGAGACATGCTTTCCTTATTTTCTTATGCCATTGAGGGAATCCCACATGTCCTGGTGACCGAGGGTGCTTTTTTCCAGATCTGGTTATTTCTGTGGTGTCAAGGTTCAGCTAACTTTTCTAAAAGAACAAGATCTCTGCAAAATTTGTTCTATCTGAAAAAGCATTTTTTTCCTCAATGAGTACGTGTACATTTCTGGAATATAAAGTTTTATTATATTCCAGAAACAGAAAGCTACTTTTGTTGTTGTCTCTGTGAATTATTCCTTCAAAATCTCTTATTGTGGTATAATCCTACTTTGATTCAATTGTTTTGGATGAGAAACTAATAATTTACCAGATTGTTTTCCTTGTTCCAACGGAACTATTTGTTATACTTTAATAAGTATTTAGTATTTAAGACACCTAATTGATCAAGTCCTAACTTAAAAAACCTAATGGGGATGTGCTTCCAAAGTATGCTTTCTGCAATGCATATTCAATGCTTTATGTCTGTTTCCGGTATTTTACAATATGAGTCGTTTGTTTTTGTCCTTCAAGAGGCCTAATTTAATGTCTTATGCTGTACAAGTGCTATAAAAATTGGCATTACACCATTCTGTCCACATACCCTAATGATAATGGACTTGTAGCCAAATATCTCACTGGAAAGACCAAATACATTAATCTTTTTAATCTTTTGTTTATCTTCCAACCAACCAATTATTTATTGATTCTTTGCCTAGTATATGGACAGAATCCATTGGAAATTCAGCTGAAAGTACAGAAATAAAGTCCAGGAGTATAATTTCTACCTTCAGCTATATGGTTTCTTAAAATTTCAGTTGAAATACATCTTTATCCCTTCAAGAAAGTAAATCAAAAATCATTTCAAGGAATGTCAAAGTTTGGGTTGGTTCCATTGCAATCAAAGCAATATATTCAGCTGCTGGAAGTCAACATCTACATATAACAACATTCAAAGTGTGGCCTTGTTATTTACAACAAATTTTCTGTCTTCACTGATTTTCAGTACTATAGTTCTCATCATGTATTTAGAAATATCTTGCCTCACAGAAATAGGTTTTTATATAAAAGATGAATGTGTGAAAGCCTTTGTTTAGAAATATGAATTTAACATTCCTTTTTATTGAAATAAGTGAAGAATGATTGGATCTATGCTGAAACCACATGTAAGGAGAAAATACAATGTAAGCTTGATTAAACCTCTAGGTAACTAAATATATTTCAGTAAACCGTAAATTTTTGAAACCAAATTTAGTAATCCAAATAAGAACAATGATTTCAATGTTAGATCTAAACTTGATTTCAGAATGTTTTATTTCCAGCAGTTTAATTGGAATTTCACACAGGTGCTTTAAGAACAAGATAAATATAGCAGAACACACCTATTTTTACTTACTTGCTTACTTACTTACTTACTTACTTACTTACTTACTTTATATGTGGAATCATTTGTCACAACATTCTTTGCCAGAATTGTAAACCTAAAGGTTAGTGGTAAATCTCACCTGGTACATGATACCTTTATTAAATGGTGATTCATAAGCTCAGACAAAAACTGCATTTTGTGGACTCCATATCTAATCAAACATGCAAAAAAAGATCTCTTGAGCCTTATAATCCAGTTACATGTATTCTTGGAGTCTTTTTGAACAGGCAGCTATGGTATATTTTGAGGCGTGGCTATGAAAACCCAACCTTGGGAGTTAACAAGATCAACATTTAATAGAAAAAGTTCTTTTTGCTTGTAATTCAGCAGAAATTTTATGGAATATGAACTTTGAAAATTTTAATGTGATATTAAATGTG